GCCAGAAATACTCAGAGGGCATGGTGAGGAGGCTGGCAGGGAAAGTGATATGGTTTGCACTGACGCTGCCTGTCAGCGCATACCAGCCAGGCTGTCGCTTCGTTTCCTTCTGCTGGACTTTGCAGTCTCCATCATCCAGAATGTGGCCCGCCAGCTTTGTACGCACTGCGGACAGTTAGCCCTCATCTCCTCATCTCCTCCTCATTCTCCTCCGCCTCCTCCTGTAACTCGCGCGCGGCGCCAGGTTGTCGCCGCTGCTTGCGGGGGAGAAGCGGGTGAGGGGAGCTTGGACAGAGGACGAAGTCGAACACGGAAGTAGTTTGTTCCCAGCATCGGCAACGCTAGGAGCACCTCCCCAAGACGGATGCGGGCTGCGCGGAGCTGCTCACGTCGCGCACCGTGTTTCGCGCCCCGCCCCCGTGCCTCGAAGATGACAAGTCCTCCCTTCTCCTCATCCTGGCCTCCCCGTTCCCCTTCTCCTGGTCCCTCTCCCCACGCCTCCCCCCCTCCCTCCTCCACCTCCTCTCCCTCCCAGCGGCGGATGCCTCGGGCGGTGCCCCAAGCCCGACATATGCGCAACCTTGGCCATGAGCTGCATGGCCCTCGGGTGCTGAGGAAGGCCGAGAAGAAGCGCCTGAAGGCCGTGCGGGAGCGCAATCACCGACTCCTCGTGCTGCGTCGCGCGGTAGGGCGCAAGGCCTCCACCCCGTGGCGGATTGGGCTCATGCCGCCCGCAGGGCACGGCGTTGGAGTGTCGGGGTTGGCGGACGCGCCCCCACGCGAGATGCGCAACTTGGCCGCGGTGCTAAACGGGCGCAGTGACAAACACCATGTGGGCATCACGGCATACTTCCTCACTCCTTCTTCGGAGGAGTGCGACCCGTCTATCATGCCACTCTGGACCTGGTCTTGAATTACGCCGCCTGGATTTGGGATGGGCGCACGTCACCCAGCCGCCTTCAAAGGGTTTGGACAGCGCTCCATGAGCGGGTTGCCCCTATCAGTTGGGCCAGTGCCAAAGGTCCCCTGGCCGCGGCGTGGTTGACGCTCAGGCGGCTAGCCTGGGACATGAAAGCGCCGCACGTTTTGCAGGACGACCTGGGCAACCAGTATGACCTGCACCGCGTGCCCTGCTGACCTACGACCTTTTTTGGTGCAAGGCGCGCAGCGCTGGCAGCATGACCGCCTCACCAGCCACATGTACTCCCACGCTGGTGCGCCCATCTGGCACCGTGGGCTCAGGCATGCGGTCAAGGGTGCCCGTGCCGCAAGGCAGCTAGGAGCTTTGCAGGCGCTACGGTCTGACAACGTACCCATGCAGATCTGCAGGGACATGATACTAGGCATGCCCATGCGCCCTTGTCAGGCTTGCGGGAAGGCCCTTGCGCTCGATGAATGTTGGGGCCACGTCTTCTTGGAATGCCCCGCGCTGCTGACCCGCCCCCCCGCAAGGCAGATACGACCCATGGAGCAGGAACCGACGGACCATGTCCAAGGCCTGCGACAAGAGCAGAACACGCGTGGTATGTCAGCGACCTCTTTGCCCCCAAAAAGGGCCCCTGAAGTACAACAGGGCTTCGGCGACCTACGCCAGCAGGTTCACGACCACCTCGAGGGTCGGGCCGGCCCACCCTGCCGTCCTACGCCTGCGCCCAGCAGCCCAGCACCATGGAGGCCGAGGGCGATTTCTTTCCAGGCATCGGGCCAGGGGTCGATGAAGAGGTCGACTGGGTGCCACCCGATGGGTACGACGGCTATCAGGAGAAGGGGCGGCTGGACGCGCAGAGTGTCCTCTATGCGCCACAGGTTGCTTCGGAACAGAGTGACCCTGCGGCGGCGGCTTCAGCCCTGGCGCCCGATGAACCGCGCGGGCATGGCGGGCCCGAGACAGCGACACCAACGCTGAATGGCCGCGGTATCTTCCACCTCCCCCAAGTGCTGGCTGAGGTGCGCGACCAACTTATCCAAGCGGGTCTTGGATCAGGCACGCCGAACTTCGAGCAGTCCTACTGCGTTTTTTAGCATACCCGAGCCTCCCGCCTTTCTGCCACGCGAAGATACGCGGAGGCATGATGTCTGCCTTTGGGGCGACGCCCATGGCGTTTGGGGCCCCGTTTTTTACACCGACAGGTCTGGTCACGACTCAGGTGTTCCCGAGGTGCGGAGGTGTGGACAAGCAGTTGTGCAGCGGGAGCCTTACTCTTGGCTCCCAGTGAGGCGCGGTTCGAGCCCCCTTCCGTACTTGGTGCAGACTGTCGGCCGTGCTGAGAGGTGCGCGATCAGGGAGGGGCTCGACGCTTTCCCTGACCACCAGCGCTTCGTCACCGACCTGCTGGCGCTCGCCCAGGAAGGAGAGCGCTGGTGCCCCGAGCTCGAGAAGGGCCGCGCCAAGCATGCTAGAGCGTGGCGGGGCATCTTCGTGGCCAGCCGCAGGCGCGCCCTGCGGGACCCCCCCAATTTCCGATGGACGCCAGCGCACAGGTCCTTGGAGGAGCTTGTGGGCACAGGGCCGCAGGATCTGCGTGACTGGCTAGACAACGGCTGGGCAGATTATTTCGTGCGCTGTGGTGCGGCCTCTCACGCGCTGGCCGGGTCGGTATCCGAGGCGGCAACAGCTGCGCCGCAACAGCACCGCAAGGTCCTGCAGTTCATTTCGTGGGCGGCACTGCAGGTGGCGGTTCGCAAACAATGGGGATGCGACGTGGAGGTCCCCAGGCCACCTTGCGAGCAGGCCAGGCCCATTGTGGTGGCACGCAGCACGGACCATATCCTTGCTTACTGCGCCAGCCTCGGGCGGCACCGATGTACCCGATGTACCCAATGGGGAGCGGGAGGCGAAGATTGAGCCCGACACCGACAGCTACAGCGCTGAGATCAGGGCGCGCGGGAATGGGAAGGCGAAGATAGACCCCAGCGAGAAGTGCGAGAAGTGGAAGGCGACGATAGAGCCCAACACCATCAGCTACAGCATCAAGGGTAGCGCGCGCGAAAAAAATGAGAAGGCGATTTCGGGAGAGACGAAGTTGGAGCCCAAAGACAGCTACTGCGCCGATGCCGACCCCGCGAGATGCGAGAAGCTGGAGGCGAAGGCGACGAGAGAGCCCAACGTGACCAGCTACAGCGCAGAGAGCCCTCGCGAGAAGAGGGAGACGAAGCACGAGCCCAACGTGACCAGCTGCAGCGAGGCAGTAATGGCGGAGGCGAAGCTGGAGCCCTATATCCTTAGCTCCTCCTCGCCCCACCTAGTCGCCACGGCTGGATCCGAGAAAACGGAGCGTGTGAGCAGCTACTGCGTCAACAGGGCCACGAGGAGAGCACGCGCCCAGATCGCCAGAACGTGGCTAGAAGGCGGCGAAGCGGTAGAGCCCGATGCCATCAGCTACAGCGCTGGAATCCAATGGGAAGCGGAGGGCGTACATGGAGAGTGGGGGCCATTGCCGAAGGCTGACCAGAAGAAGGTGGAGAGGCGATATCAATGATATCTCCACCCAGATGGCAAGAAAAGCGGCACGTTCCGCATCGCAGGGTCGAACGGGAGGCCCACGTGGCCCCTCAGAGCAGATTTCGACAACATGCTGCTCCTGAGGGCCACGAGGGCAAAGGCTTCGAGCAAAAGCGTCAGGATACGCCGCGCGTGCGAAGCTGGAGAAGAGGAGCGCAGATTGTTAGAAGTGTGAGAAGCAGCGGTGCCTACGCGCGGACAGGTCACTGGAGTGTGGACGTCCGCCCGAGGCGCTGCAGAGGGGAAGCTCGGGCGACGAGGCGCGGTGGGAACTCGCCATGTGAGAAATGAAACTGCTGAACAATTCCTCCTCCTCCTCCTCCTCCTTCCTCCTCGCCCTTCTCCTCCTCCTTCTCCACCTCCTCCTCCTCATCCGTCCTCCTCCCCCTTCTCCTCTTCCTTCGCATTATGCTCCTCCTCTGCTTCCTTCTCCTCCTCCTCCTCCTCCTCCTCCTCCTTTTCCTCCTCCTCCTCCTCCTCTTCCGTCTCTTTCCTCCTCCTCCTCGTCCTTTTCTTCCTCCTTCTCCTCCTCCCCCTCCTCCTCCTCCTACTCCTCCTCCTACTCCTCCTCCTCCTCCTCCATTCCCAGACTCCCGACGTCGCGATTTGTTCGAAACCTCGCCCCCCAAGGTTTGAACCCGCTCTACGGGGCTGCCTTTATTTATCCCGAGTCGTTTTTTGAGAGCCCCGGGGCCTGGCGAGGGCCACGGGGCCAAAAGGTACCAGCAACAATCCCGTCTCCAGAGAGGACCACCAGTCCGCAGGCTTCGTCGCTTGGCCCCGAGGCCCACGAGCGGAGTGCGCACGAGACGGGATGTTTCTGCTGCCCGAGAGCCAACCCTGCTACCGCGGCCCACGGGATCACAGCCCCCCCCCTCCGACACTTCATCCCCCACCTTTTCCTTTTCCACCTCCTCCTCCTCATCGCCCAGACTTCATCCCTCACTGAGGGGGCGAGATATCAGGGAAACCCTCCTGTTGAGGCGCGTCCTCTCCCTCCTCCTTCTCCTCCTTTTCCTCCTCTTCCTCCTCCTCCTCCTCCTCCTCCTCCTCCTCCTCCTCCTCCTCCTCCTCCCCCTCCTCTCCCTCCTCCATCCCGCCCGCATAATCATTCGCCCCCTCTCCTCTTTTTCCTTTTCCTTCCCCCCCTCCTCCTCCTCCTCCTCCTCCTCCTCCTCCTCCTCCTCCTCTCCTCCTCAATGTCCTCCTGCTCCTCCTTCTCCTCGTCCTCGTCCTCCGCCTCCTCCTCCTCCTCCTCCTCCTCCTCCTCCTCTTCCTGCTGCTCCTCCTCCTTCCCCTCTTCCTCTTCCTCCTCCTCCTCCTTCATTTCTCCACCTGACCCTCCTCCTCCTGCTTCTCCTCCTCCCCCTCCTCCTCCTCCTCTTTTTCTTCCTCCTCCTTCTCCTCCTCCTCCTCCTGATTCCTTTTCCTGTCCCGCCAACGCACGCCCGAAATAAAGGCTCCTCACCTCCTCACCTCTTCTGCCCCCGCCAGCGAGGACGAGGCGCAGGCCATCGAGTCCGCCGTCACTCAGGCGCTCGAGGAGGGCAAGCTCACCGGAGACCTCGTCCCGAAGGAACGCCCGCCATGCGCGCCCCTCCGCGGTTGGCTGGCCCGGCGACCCCTCGGCCAAAGGGCGCCGGGAACCTCTCTTTCGGGCGCTTCGCAGCGGGGAGGCTTACGAAAGTTGTGTTGATGATGATGATGATGATGATGATGAGAGGAGACGAGACTGAGGAACAGGAGAAGGAGGAGGATGAGGACGATGTGATGGTGATCAGTGATGGTCATGGTCATGGTACTGGTCATGGTCATGGTCATGGTCATGGTCATGGTCATGGTGATGCTGGGGAGAAGGAGGAGGCGACGGTGATGATGACGGTGATGGGGGTGAAGACGGTGATGGGTGTGAAGATGGTGATGACGGTGATGGGGGTGAAGATGGTTGTTTTATGATGATGACGGCAACATACGTGATATCGACAATGCTTCTACATATGATGACGACGATGATCCGATGGTGATGGCGGTGTTGATGACTATAATGATGATGTTGCTGATGATGATGATGGTGATGACGATGCTGATGATGATGCTTGTGATGGTGATGATGGTGATGATATTGATAAGATTGATGATGGTGATGATGATGCTGATGATGATGATGGTGATGACGATGCTGATGATGATGCTTATGATGGTGATGATGGTGATGCTATTGATGAGACTGATGATGGTGGTG